GGCGGCCCGCACAGGGTGGGGTGCTCCTGAGGGCCCAGCGGGCACTGTGGGGGGCCCTGGTGTCCACTTCAGGCAGAGAGGACACGGGACACACATGCAGGCCTCCAAACAGCTGCCCGGGGCACGTGCCTGTCCCCGGGGCAGCCAGGACAGCCCACGGCCGGACATCAACAACGGGACCTTCTCTCCTGGTTCTGGAGCCGGCGCCCAACGTCCAGGTGTCACGGGCTGGTCCTTCAGGCCGTGAGGGGGACCCGGCCCAGGCCCCCACTCTGGGTGGCTCCCCGCATCCTCGGCCTGTAGACCCACCCCCTCTCTCTGCTCCGTCTTCGCATGACATCCATTCTATGTGCACGTCTGCGTCCAAATCTCCCCCTTACAAGGTCCCCAGTGACATGGGATGAGGGTCACCCAACCCCAGTGCGACCGCATCTTCCCCCATCAGGTCACGTTCCGAGGCTCCCGCGGGCCAGGCCTCCAACAGAGGGACCTGCAGGGGCACCGTTAGCCTTGAGGCCGGGACCCCCGGTGGGGCCTGAACCCCCCGACGCTCAAGGGCAGTGGTGCCGAGTGAGGACCACCCGTTCACACTGGCCCCACGGATCTGCCAGGGGCCCTGCACTTGAGGGATGTACGTTGACCGAGACCCTGGTTCCCACTTTCAACAGTGACGTGGGGCACCTCCAGCCAGGGCTCCGGGCTCCCTGGATGGGGCGGTCCGAGGGCCTGGTGTGTGGCTGGCTCTGCCCGGCTCTCTGGGGACTCGGGCAGCCTCCTCCGTCTGAGCCTCCCTCACTCCCCTGTCCTGAGCAGCAGGGAAGCCCTGGCGGACGCGCATGCCAAGGTCAGGGGGTAGGATGGCGCCCTGGGAATCCCGAGGGCAGGGACCCCTCTCCTGGGCACTGCCCTCACCCGATGGGGGTGGATGGGGGCCCTGGGCCCAGGGACGGTAGAGCTGCAGCCCACCCGTGGCCACCATGGCGGCCAGTGCCCTGGGCCTGGGTGTGTGGCTGGAGCCAGGTGCCCCACTCCTCTGGGCCTCAGTTTTCCCTCTGAGGAACTAGGGGATCGCACCCCGAGGCCTCTGGGAGTTGGCCGTGTCTCTGGTTCTTGGACGCCTGGTCTGGCACCAGCCGCCTCCCAAGGAGCAGCTCTTCCTGGGGTCA